CATTCTGCCCTGCTCAGAGAAGTAGCCTTGTTTGTATCCTGGACAGAAGCTTTTTTTTTCTTGCCATTTCCACTCAAAAGGAAAGTTGGGGGGCACCTTGCTCAACAAACTATAGTCCAGATGAGCTTGTCTGTTGGTGTATCAGAGGCTTTATTCACAGGCTCCTGAAGGGTGTGTTTTACTGGGACTTGTGGCCCATAGAGCAGGATTGTGGCAGGAATTTACACACGACTTCAGCACTGCTAGGAGCAGTGGTTCGGGGGAATCTATGATGTAGAGCTGATGAGAGCTTATCAGTGCAATCTGCATTTGTAGATTTGCACTTCCAAAGTGGCCTCCACAGCCAGGCCTTCTCGTAACATGCAGTTAATCAGTTTCTCCTTTTTCTCACCAAAACTATGTGGCCTACTCCCCACCTTGGGACACCTGGAGCTTGATAGTCTCTTTATGAAACACTGGTCCCATGTGTTATCAAATATACTGCTTTGAACAAACCAGGGCTACATCATCCTGCTCACCAGTTTTCCTGATACAATAGGAAGTGACAGCAGTGTCCTTCTGGTTCAGGACAGATATCCAAGGAAGGCAGACATACCCAAACTAGGTGTAAACTGAGCCTGCAGAGGAACAACACTGTGGATGATGGAGCCACGCAAAGCCTTAGGCATGTCACTTATTGCTACCTGCTGTGATCCTTATCTTCTTAAAAAATGTCAAGTACATTCATGAAAGATCCTGTTTTCCCTCATTTCTGGTGTTCAGCATTTTCATCTTGCTGTGCCTGCAGTAAAGCTGTTGCTGGCCACTCTGGAGTCATTACTGAAGGAGTGACTTGATATGAGAAATGGCTCTGGTACCATATAACAAAAGTGGGTGTTGTTGAGGCTCATCTTGGTCTTCTGTGCATTGGCATTTCCTACTGCCAACGTATAGCTTGGAGCCCCAGACAATTTTCACTCTGCTGTTCGCATCGATTGCAGCCAAGTGAAGAGCGCGCCAAAGTCAGTGCAATCCAAGCACAGTGATAGCTCTTCAGATTAGCCTGTCCCACAAGATGGCCCAGAGCTGGATGGAGAGGCAGTGCAGGATGTGTCATGCTTTTACTGGTTGATGGGGTCTACCAGGTGGGCCATTGTGTGCTTGAGCAGGCATGGTTACCATATGGCCTTTGCTTTCAGCCCAAGCACTGTGCTCTGTTTACTGCTGATTTCCAGACCATTATTGCTTTCTGAAGGTTTGAGATATTTTTATGCTTCCCAAAAAACTCTGACTCCAGCATTTAACTCCACTTATCCTTCACATTCTATTTGTTACACTTTATTACTAATTTGCCCTGTTGCTGTGTGTCACGAGGAAGGACTCTCTCCCAAGCCATCTGCTTCCAATATTTGAGCCTGACAATGAAATCCTAAATACTGAATTTGTGCCATTGCAGCCACTGCCATGGGCAAGATGCTGATGCCAAGTGCTGGGTTATGCCTGCTTTGCAGACTGAGAGGTTAGATGGGAAGCTCAGGGGTTCTTGTAGGCCAGGGCACCAGCAGCAACCAGCTTGCTGCCAAAGGATTGAAAGCAAAGCATGTGACTTTGCTGCCTCTAGTCAGTACATACAAGTGCTACAAGGCTGGTGGGTAGGGGGAAGCATGTCAACAGAGTCGAGGGACTGTTGTGCTCCTGCCTGCAGAAAATACCATATCACTTTATTTTAACACTGGGTTGTATGGTACCAATACGAGGAGAAAGCAAGGCCTGGACCAGCCCAACCATAGAAATGTGTTCCTTACAATATGATGCTACACAGCTGCTCTCTTCATCATTGCTTTTAAATTCATCAGTGCTCACTGGAAAGGACTGAGTAATAGGAGAATCACTTGTCTGAGGGGACAGTAACACGCTCTGGTCTGCACTAGTGACCCAGTGTACCCAGGGGCTGAAACAATGGTCCAACAAGAGGAGTCTATCTCTGCTTTAACAGTCACTGTAGCCCATTCTATGCACACACACTCATATCCAAAGGAAAATCTAACCCCTGAAGTATGAGTGCTAGCTGTTTAATGCAAACAACTGAAATGGGAAAGGAAGCAAATTAACAAAATGCTTCCTGCGGGATGATGCCCTGTAGGACTGTGCATGCAGAGAACACTTTGTCTGTAACCCGATGGCTTAACTGCATCAGCACCAGCAAAATGGAAATGCAACCCAGCTGCAGTCGTCAGTCAAATAAATCAAGTGACAGGGTAGAGGACATCAGCTCGACTCCAACAACAGGGCAGAGCTACAATGACCCAGGTGCATCAGGCAGGAGTCTAGGATGGTCTGTTCCCATGCAGACATGGAGGGATCCTAAAACCACTGGGAGGTTTTACAGAGAAAACGTACGTTTCAGTAGGTCAGTGTCTCAGTAGTCAAATAGCTGTGCTAGAATTGAATACAGAGGACATACAAGCAAGCACAGGTGAATGGTACCTATAGCTATTAATTTCTGGCAGCTGGACTAACCAGAATAGATGCACCAGAGAACTGATATGGTGAAATCAGTGACACAGTCCTCTGCTTCCCTCCCTGCTAAAGCCACTGAGGAATCAGGAAGGTGAATCTCATCTGGTTTCTCAAGCCTCCCCACCCAGCGTTTAAACAAAGGATTTGGTGGGGTTAGTTGCATTCTTACTCTCAATTTAAGTTTTAAGAGGCAGTCCAGCCTAGCCAAGATAGGATCAGCAACTGCAGCGATTACGAACCTAATCCAAAGCAGTTGATCATAGTCAGGGCCCCATTGCATCAAGCCTTGTGTACACCTGCAATAAGAAGCACTGTCTGCCCCAAAGAACAAAAAGATGGGGAAAAAAGATGCAGGCAGAAGGATGAGAGCCATACTGTCAAGTAGCATATAGAGGGTAGAGGAGTTAGATATCTGGGTGGTTTGTCTATGAAGTGCAGGCACTCCAGGTTCAGTCAGTTCTTCCGGTCTATCAACATGAGCAGCAATGATTCTGCAGGTCCAGTTCTGGCTGCGACAGCCTTTGGTGGCAGAGTGGAAGTTAACCATGCTGTTGGAGAGGCGCAAGGAGACTGCAGTCCAGCTTGCTCTTCCCATCTTTCATAGTGACAGTAAGCAAAATCGCAGCACAAAGCATTTGCTCCTGAAGGCAGCAGGCAGGCCTCATAAGAAGTGCTCCAGCAACTCCTTCATAGGTACTTAGTAATGTAAAGCCATATTTGTAGCACATGGGCATTGTGATGCTGAGTGTGATATAAATGCCTTAGCAGAAGTAAAAATATTAGAGGAAGGGAAAGCGCATGCAATCATCATATCTGTCCAACTTCTGAAAGCTACTTATCTGGAAATGGAAACTCTCTTGGCCATGCAAGCAGGTAGAGGCTTTCCGAATGTGTACGTCTATCTATCAGGCCAGCTGTCACGTCCCCTAGTGCTGGTCAGGAATGGGTGTCGAACCCCTCAGGCTGGAACTGGATTGGACCAAATTCTTCTGCTCCCCCCCACCCCCCAAAGTGACTGGTACAAAACTGCTTTCTTGTGTTTTGTGCAGTTTGAAGTATTGAACAGCCCATTCTCCTTAAGCCACAGACTAGTTTCCCCAAGGGAACCATCTTAATACTCCATTACCACCAAGGTCAGAATCTGTGGCTAGCTGATGCCTGGAACAATAGTAGATTTTTAATATAGATCTTTAAAACAAACAAAAATATACACAAGTGTTTTCGGGTCCTGAAGTTTAAATCCATTTTAGCCAAATGGTTTTTGAGCACTTGAGCGTTAAGACATTCACTCAGATTTAGGTCCAATGTATTTGCTTTACGATTCTAATCAGATTAAGCCTAAACTCCCAAATTAGGACCCAGAATTCCTCTCTGATCTGAAATTAACAGTGAAAGTCCAGATTCTCTCCCCAGAAAACCAAGGCAAGGTTTTAGGTTTGCTGTAATGTCATTTAAATGAACTTCTGTTAATCAAACTCCTTCCCAAGTAGTTGTGACAAGCCAAGAGAAGGCTTTCTAGGACACCATCTGTTCTTTCCTGCAGGCACTGAATAATTTACCCAGAATGTGGCAGTTCCAGTAGACCGAAGAGCGCACATCCGAGGCTGGGCAAGTTGTACACAATCACATTTCTCATGTGGCTTTACTTTGCCTCTTGCCCACCTTTGCCCCATAGTACCTGTTGGATGCTGGCGTGCTGCAATAACTCTTGGTAATCCCGTATCTTAGCCTTGGAAACAAAATGCAAAAGGCAACAACCTCAGTTATTTCAGCATGATAGAAGAGAGGGAGAAATCATGCTTGAAGTCACCATTCAGAGGGAAGGACAAGGACAGCTGTTAGGTCTGTAGGTCATTAGTTTAACTATTTTGGAAAGACAAATTTAGAATGCCTATCAATTTGTTTCCTTTCCTAAAATATTGCAGATTGAAGGGTACCCATGACTGAAGGCTCCCTTGATTTCACCACACTAGTGCATGCAACACAAAGCCAAATCATTGCATTTTTAAATTCTGCTAGCTAGAAAATGGTGGGTGGGTGCCCAGGCAGCCAGAACGATTTGCTTTAGCTGTGCAGCTCTGGCATGGTTCCTTTTGAGGGACCATGCCAGTCTGCCTCCATCCACAGTGATTTTGGCATTTCAAAACTGATTGCAATGCCTCTCTGGAAGTCACCAGCCTACAAATAGCTGTGGCTCAGGGACTGAGCACCTGGTCATGTTGAACAGCTGGCTATACAAAGCCCCAGTTGCTGGTTTTATCTCATCTCCTCCTCTCTGCAAGTGAGGACAGGGCCTAGAAATACTGCAGAAAGCCTTGGCTAGAGAGGAACAATCCTCTACAACAAGCAACTAGGAAAAGCTCTGAACTCTAGTCCTTGCAAGAGGATGGGGATGAGGATTCAAGGCTGAAGATGCATTAGGGAAAGGAGGAAACAGGCCCCATGCCTTGCAAAGGGCACAGAGGAAGCCCAAGCGTGCCCAGCAGTAAAGACAGGAACCATTCTGGAAGTTAACGTGTTTATTGATGTGTTTAACTTTGTACATTCCCCACAGACCACATTAAGGAGTTTGCAGGTAAATCTGTGCATAGTGGGAAGAGACATGGAAGGGGGAAAGAAAAAAAGTCACAGGAAAAAAAAAGGAAAAAAAAAAAATACACCACAGGTTACCAGAACCTCCAGATTGAAAAAAAAAAAAGCTGTGAGCATTAACACCAATTATACAAGCGCTACAAAGACACGATGGTGACTGGAAAACACCCCGTTTCTCTCTACAGTTTTCGGTCAAATAGGCAGTATCCCTTTCCTATTCTCCCCCTTATTTAGAGTGAACTCCATGTACTTTCATTCCTCAATGCTGAGTATTGCACCAGTCATTCTTCTAGGCCTGGGAATAAAAGTAGAGAGATGGCCCAACATCACTGGAGAGAGAGACTACAAGGCTCCAAAACCAGCATCTCTAGCCTACTTACCGTGTTGGTGGGGGGGGAGGAGGGAGCTGGGGAAAGTTACAGATAGTGGTAAGAGGGGCCTGGTGAGCACTGAAGGAGGCTGGTTAGATCCTCTGGTGGAGGGATTTAAAATTCAGTACCAAGGACCAGATTCAGAAGGGGAATGTGCAGACCCCAGAACGCACAAGCCACGGCCTAACATTCCACTCAGGTGCTTATTAATGGAGATGGCAATAGCTTTGTAACTGAGCCGCTAGGGAGTCTAGGATCCTAGGAACTGTGATGCAGGGTGGGCACAGAGCACTGGCATCTGGGGATTCTTCATAAAGCTTTTTCCCCCTTAATCACCACTTTGATCTGCTTCCTGGGTTACACTTTTACTGCTCTGAACCCTATTTAATCTCTTTGCAACTTCCAGCAAAATTCAGTTAAAAAAAAAAAAAAAAAAAGAAGGAATACTGCTTTATATATAAAAGCCAGAATGACTGAAGAGCCACAAGTGCCTCCTTTATACAATGTGGGTTGGTACAAAGGCCTTCAATATACAAGGGATCTATCAGAAATAAAAATCAACATCTCCCGTTATATATATATAGAGCTCGTATCAGATGACGGTACAACAAAACTGGGATTTTCAGAGTATTTTTTTAAAAAAAGAAAAACTACATCTCAGTCAAATATCTGCAATAGATCCATTTTTCCCCCATTTAAAGATTTATATATCATCATATTGTTATATTATCATTTCTTCACCCATTTAAAAGAATGGAAATTGCAACTCTACAGTAGTAATTATAGTCTTAATGATCCAGGAGTTTTGAATGTAAGATGAAGTCCTCTTGAAGCAACTGTTGGTCAGTAGTTGATCCAAAACACTGGACCATTTTGGCCCTTTCTGCCCTGCCCCTCTTCTAGTCAGGGCTGCTGCATCTTCACATCCTTTAAATCTGCATCTGCTCCAAGTATTTGTAAGTCGGGTTCTCATAGCCATGGTTCTGCATCTTGCTCAGATGCCGCTCCTCTGGAGTAAGCATGGGGTCAACCTTCAAAAGACAAGACACCGACCAGACAATGGAATCCAAGTACCACGTTCTCACATACAACATGCAACTTTCCCCCCTGCAAACAAGCTGCTAGAAGTGGCAGCGTGCATTATACGTGAGAAATACATTTTAGACCAATTTCTGCCACTTACCAGGCAAAAATGAAAGAAAAATCTGCAGATGACCCACAGAAGCACAACAATAAGCAGGCTACTCAGTTACTTTCTACAAGGAACAATCTTTTTCTCTTCATTCTGTCTTTTAAAATGAAGGGGCATATTTTATTCTGGGGTGTGTTATATGTGGGAAGATGCAGCAACTTCCAGGTTCCCCTAATCTGAGTAGTTGTAATAGTCCAGAGACAGACATTGGTTCCATAGGCAGCAAGATACAAACAGAAATACCAGTAGCCACTGGAAACAGCCTGCTTATCATTCCTGAAAAAAGCGACATGATACTGAAAAACCCCTCATTGTTCAGCATAAAGGCTGCCTGCTGGCTCCTGCAGGCACAACACTGCCATGGGCTATTCCTACCTCCACATCCTACACATTGGATCACCATGCCTCAACAGTTGCTAAGTTACCCAAAGGGTGAGTTGCTATAGATTCACTCTTGCTTATTACCTTGCTCAAGACTTAAGACGTGAAAGCTCATTTAATGCTAAATCCCTTCTTCAGACAGAAAAGGAAGCTTAGCCAAAATCCTTCTGATAAGTGCAGTCGACAAGTCTCAGCACAACACACAAATGATAAACAGCTATGTGCAAATATAGCAGCAAGTATCTCAGCATCCAAAGGGTTCAGTCTCCTCTAGATGAAAGGAATGCAACTGATGGCTCAGCAGCAGCCACCAGTGCAGTGTGCATGTGTTTTTAAAGAAGGCAAGCAAATGCAAATTGATACCATCACGCTAAGTTATGTTCCAGGAGTTCTCACCTCCACAATCCCATGGCTGATTGTCCCATACTGCCTCTTCCTCAGCATCACCAAGCTAATGACAATGACAGTGGCTATGGCAACTGCAATCACCAACAGACCAATGAGGGCACTGCTGCTGAAACTGAAGTCATCATGAAAGGAACCAAGGGAACCGTCATCATCCTGCAGGGAGAGAGGAGGGGTGAGCAGGAGGGAGAGACTTGGAAATTAAAGCAGGAAATATAACCCCAGGAGGCGGCCACCACTAAGGTCTTCAGCCATCTGTGATGTGGTTGCATGACTGATTGATTCCACATGGCAGCCTGAATATTTAACATCTCCCTGTCTTGGAAAAAAAAAATACACACAGATTGTTTCCTCATTTACAACTGCTAGAAGATGCTCTCCCACAAAAGCCTTCTAAAATAAAGTCTGTATCCCTACATAATACTGGTAACAACTTGGAACTGTGGTTCTGTGGAGGAATTCAGTATAGTACCATGCTCTGCAAGACTTCAGCACAGGTTTGCAATTTGCCACACACTGAAGAAGACTCAGAATTAAATGGATACACAGGAGCACTAATGCTGAAATTTATTTTAGAATTCATCAGCCAGTCTGAGCGGCCCAATACGTACCGGCTCCTCCACCAGTCCTCCAACTCGCTCTGCATTGAAAATCATTTCCTTCACATCAAGGGTTTCATCAATTACCTGAAAATAGGCAAAAGCCTTTTACACAAGGAGCCAGAGAAATCGGGATGTTCTGAGGGAGCAAAGCACTAACCATTGCAAAAAGAGTCACATTTGCCACAGCATTTCCATCACACTGACATTGGTCAGCTAACAATAAGTTATTCTAGAAGTATGTGGCCCATCAAAACTGTGTACCCTGTAATTTGTGGGATTCTAAAATGGGCAAAACTTAGGCATATGTAAAAAAAAAAAAAAAAAGTTATGGTGTAGAGGGTACATGAAGGACATCCTGGTGAACTCCGACTAGAGAAGAACAGAGAATCAAAATGGCACCTATTTATTGCTGTTGACTCCATTCTCCCAAAGCACTACACTTTGATATAGCACAGTTTTATCTACATCTACCTCATGTGAATCTCTCAGGAGTCCTCAATCCATGATACCTATTGAAACTATTAACTGGAACTACCACAGGTTAAATAACTGATAGTTCTATTAATAAAACTCAGATTATCCAAAAAGACTACAGAATAGTACCAGGACCTTCAGGAATACTGAAGGAAGTCAAGACTGTTTGCTTCCCTGACCTGAAGGCTCTAATTCAGCTGCAGGCATTTGCTTTGAGTGAAACAATTTTGTGAAGCAAATCTAAATGCTGATTTTAAAATGAGCTTAAAAAAGGTTAACCTCCAGAGCTGATTTCACCCAGGAAGGAGCACAAGGGACCTGCAACTAGAAGTCAGCTCAATGTCAACACTCCACTTAAAGCTACAAGCTATTTACTGTTAGCTCTACTGTACGCCAAATCCTATCTGCCATTCAAAATGTGTTGGGGGGGGGGGGGGGGTAGGTAGAACCACCAGCTTCATAACAGACAGACTGAAACCAAAGGTGGAACAGCATAGCACTCGGTGTATTTGGTGCCGTATTGAGAGGTCACCTAGTAAGGGTAGGTCTCCAGTGCAGGTGTTACCATCTTTCAGAGGGATCGGTTTTCTACCTAGGAAAGCTACTGCAGAACAACACACTTCAACAAGTCAGTCAACTGCTGACTACTGGGCTCTCTCCCTCCCTCAGCCTCCCACCTTTCTGATGCTAGTCGGTATTAGGAGTTTGCAATAATCAGAACGCTGCAACTCCTCTGCACCATACGGATAATGAACACGCTGACATTTAGAAAGTAGGAAAGAAGCTGCTCACGTTAATTAGTCTCAGAGTTAGGTTTTTCTTCAGAAAACAAAGGCAGAGGACTCACCACATTTTCATCCACTTTGTTCTTGCTATTAATCACTTTCTCCTCAGCCCCAATCAGCCCATCCAGGTCAGCTATGCCAGAACCTGCACCAAAAGAGTTATGCATTTTGTTAGATGTAGAAGAGACCATTAGAGGCTTTAGCGGCATCTAGGAAGAATAACCTACTCTCTTGACAGTGCTGTCACTCCTAGTGCGATTCATAACATTTTGCTGTTTACTAATCCCTCTTTGTGCTAGATTCAGTAGGGGAGTTCATGTGCAAAGCCAGAATGACAAATGATCTGGGGGTTTCCTGGTCAATGAAGGCAAATGAGGTGGCTCTGATGACAGCGGAGAAGGCTCACCAGGATGCACTGAATGTATATCCAGAGCAACTGGAGTGCTCTTATGAGAAGGGAGTTGGGAATATTTACATCTCATCTCTGCTTGCTGCTCATGGTTATCACCATAGCTCCACATAACATGACCCCGTGAGGACCAAACATTCCTTCTCTCCACTGAACCAGCACAGAGGGAGCACTTATAGTAGGCATGGTCAGCAAGAGCCCTTTCAAACGAACAAAAAAAAAAAAAAACAACCCCAAAACCCGAACAAAACACACCCCCCCCCACACCCACGTGTCAGCAAGTGCCTCAGGAACCAGAGAGTCTCAAGGTTACCCAGCACAGCCCTGTGATGAGCCATGAGTCATGTCTCCATGTCTGGCACAGGCTCAAAACCCAACAGATCCCAGGGCAAAGGAGGAAAGTGATAAACTAGCCCCTGTGCACTAGCATGCTTCTTAGCCATCTCAAGGCTGAAAACTAGCACAGGCTGAAGAGGAGACTATCAATTAGCAAAAGGCTCCTCTGCATAAACTGTTTTGATCTGGAGCTTTTATAAATAGATCAGATCAATAACAGAAAAGGCTGATGCAACACACACACCGACCTACAGAGCACGGAACAAGCTGAGAGATGAAGCTTCCCGATACCAGCATATGCAAAACACTGTCCTTCACAATGCCTGTGCCCTCCCAAAGCAAAAGCAGGGGAACAAGGAGTCAGTTGTCTGCTGAGCCTCTTCTTCAAAGGGGCATGTGTAGGGGAACTACGTGTGGCACTTAACATTTCATAATTGACTGCACGCAACCTCTCTGCAGTTGCTGATCTTGTAGCTCGGTTAAGACAGTATGTTAACTGCTGCTGAAATCGTTGCAGGTTCTTTGATTAAGTGAGAGGAAAGAGTAGTTGGCGGCTCCAGGGCGACTTCTCACTGCGACAGGCTTTTTACTGCTCAAAAATGCCAAAAGAAACGAATGTCTCACTCCAGCTCCTCCAGAAAGGAGCAGCAGCTTGGTTTTTATTACAGCCCGATCCCCATCAGCTTCTTTGGAGACTGGCATTCAGATTCCAGACACGGCTGAGGTGGGGAGTCAGACTCCCCCAAGCTGCCTAGGCAGGTTATGTTATTACCGTGAAAGTCAATGATTTAGAGCTTCTGGAGATTATGCAGAAACAACTTCTAGAGACCAGCCTAGTCAGCTTCTGGCCTGTGGCTGCTTTACCCCATTCTCAGGAGACAGCCTGCTAGCAGTCTCCAGAGCAGGGTGTTCAGCTGTTGTGGCGAGTCTTGCTGTTTGTTAGAGTGCTGTGCACTGTCACAGCCCCAGTTTCTGGGAGTGCACCAGTCCAGCTGTTCAGATTATACACCTCCCCAGAATACAGCTGCTGTTATGCCATATGCTGAAACAGGAGCAATGCTGAGCCCAATTCTCAGCCACTGGAGGCAATGGGAGTTCTGCCATTTACTTAAATGGGCACAGAACCAGGCTTGTATTTAAGCTTCTTAAAATGAGCGTGGCCGTTGCCAGAATCAAACTTCATCCCAATCTGTCTAGAGATCTGCTGGGATCAGCTGCACATTGTTCCACAGCAGGGATAAAGCTCACATCTAGCAGAAGGCAGAGAAATGTTCATAAAAAATTATCAGGCCATCCAACCTCCAGTGGGATACAAGACTGATGTGTGGGCTGAATAAGCCTGATCCCAAGGAGAAGCAGCCTCTGCTTGTCAACTTGAAGCAAATTTGGAACCAGAGGTAGGCTGAAGCAATGGGGACGAGTCCTAGTATGTGGCATTAGTACCAATAAACTGCCAAGGTGCCCGTGCACTTAGCAGGAATCCTACCAGCCTCCCACTGCTACTGCAAGCAGGTCTAGGCTAGCAATCAACTTACATTCGATTCCACATCTGAAAGTACCTGCCAAACCCACTTGTTTAATGTCAAGAGTTCTCCGACTCCCCGCCCCACCAATCCCAGACTAGTCGGTTCCTCTTCAGCCAGAGACGCCTTTGCTACACGTATCACAAGTGAGCTACAAATAGCAATGGATGAACAGTGAGAACTATCTAAAGAAATCCTGTATGTAAGAAGGGGGAAGTGCAGAGGATACTAGAAAGCAAAGATATGAATTGCTCACGTGGGTGTTACTAGTAGGTCTCTCTAAGCACCCTGATGGGTATTAGTTTGGAAATACAGCAAGTTTGTTCTGGTGCTCCCTCACTTCTTGGTTAGGGCTGACATTACGTAGGAGGCACAACAGATGCTATTGTACACAAGGGAGTGTGTAGATTATTTACCGCCAATGCTGTCAAACTTGTTTTTAGCATTGGTACAAACAAAGCAGTAAACACTGCTACCCATTTCCCAGAAAGAGCACTAAGCCCGAGTTTATTCTGGGGGCAAAGGAACTGATCTTTGCACCCTGGGACACCTTGTCAGCCTATGGAGACTGCGAGGAATGCTAAGAAATCACTGAGGCGGCCAAATGAGCTGGTTTCGTTAGCAGAACAAGGCACGTGGCTACATCAGCCCTGCTGATCTACATGGAGAAGGGAGGTGAAAATAAAGGTGAGAGTATGAAACTAAAAATGAAGCTACCAAACACAGAGAAGGTGGAAGAGTGACAGAAAGCACTTAGAGGGAGCAGCTTAGAACCAACCTTTTTTCATTGGATGGTACAAATCCGGCTGAGGATCTAGCAGGAGGGAAAACAAAAACAAAAATAGCAGAAAAAGGAGATTAAGAGAGAAAGGAAAAAAGGCTTGTGCATGATTTTCGCCTCAGACCCTTGACAAAGCTTGCATTCACAGCTTTGAGTGAAGAAGGCTGTTCAACTGCTTGTTTGTTTTTAAATAAATCAAAAACCACACACCACAGCAAGCTGTCAGTGTCCCTTGTTAAAAAAAAAAAATACTTGTTGCAGTTTACAGCAACAAGGTTCATAGTTGCATTGGAGCATTCGAGTTAGAAAGACTAGGAATTATAGATTCCAGCTTCCAGACAAAAATCAAGAGTTTAGTGCTCACTGCACAGGGAAATTAAAATCAGATTCCAGAAAGGGCTAAAGGTATTATGAAGTCAAGAACAGCAGTGATTAGACATGGCAAATTACTAGCTGCACTGCCTGTTCCAGACTGACAGAGCATCTCCTAATAATATGGGCAGCTAAGGATCCAGGAGCTTGCTTACTCCCTTTTCACATGACATAGGCAGCTTTGAAAATAGACCTCATGGCTAATTCTACATTGTTGGCACGACTGCTTCAATCCCGAATGGTCGCCAGGGGTTAGACCCCTTGGGTGTCGTTTGGGCTGGGACACTGGTTCTGACTAGAGGCACGCACATTTCCTGAAGTGAAATCACACTCTCTGCTCTACGTACCTTCGCTTTCAGGCAAGGCTGGGAAGGTTTTCACCTGGAATGGGCGGAAAGGTTTGCCCTCCTGGAGGGGAATCTCTTCGCTTTCCTCAGAGCTCACTCGGACATCTACCAGGGACTCTGAGATGGAGGATGTGAACTGGTCCATGTCCGCACGTTGCTCCTGCAGCAGCTCATCTAAAAGGAAGAACAAGGGGCCAGGCAGGAGAGAGAAAATGAGGAGAAAATCGTTTCAATGGGTTCATGGGAGGGGCGGAAAGAGGCAGATCCTTCAAACCAAGTTGGTCTGGGACAGGGGCACAAGCAAAGCTGACCTGGGGCAGTCAGATTTGTGAAAGCTGGGCGGTGTGTTTATGGCAAGCAGGGTCCCATCCTAGGTTGTCAAAGGTCCTGGCTGGATAAGCAGGTGAAATTACAACTGGCTGACTGCTTCCATAAGGCAGACAAATATACTTGTATTCACAAATCTCCTTTTTACCCACATGAAGTAACAAAAAAGGAGACTGGAGTGAGACACATGCCTTTGTTACTGTGGACTTTTTGTATTCTCTGTGTGTGTGTAGTTTTTCCAAGGCTAGCAAGCCAGCAGGCCTAGATTATGACCACAATCTAGCTGGAAATCATGTACGTATAGCAAAAGCCAGAGAACTTTTACCTTAAAAAAGCAAGCCCAACCACCTCTGGCTGGACTGGAGTATTTCTTAGACTACAATATTTCTGGGCATGCTAGACTTTCCTAATACATCAGCATCTACACCAGCACAGAGATACTAACCAATCTCATCCTGGATTTCTTCAGCCACATAGGGTACCTTGTAGAGCAGAGATAGGCTTTGATTCATCCTCTCTTCAATCACATGGAGATGTGTCATCACCTGCCAACACAGAGGAAGGGCTGAGGTAAGGGCTGTCAACAGTCATTGTTTCTGTGCTAATATTTTAATTATTTTAATAAAACAGGATCACAGTTCACCCTAAGAGATCCAGAGCCATCAAATCTAACACCATGACTATGGCACTTTCTTATCCATCTCATGCTTCATAGGAAGGCAACCTCGACATTAAGCTTTTGTACTTTGAGCTGTAGGTGCGATCAGTCTTCTTCTGGCAGCACAGGAGATGATGCTTCATATTTAATAGTGACTAGAGTTCACAGGTCATTTTGTGTAACTGCTGTCTGCATTAACATGAAATGAAACCCTGCCTCTCCCCACTACTAACGAGTGCATAGAGATTCAACACATGGGCTGAACTTATGCGCAAGTCCAAAGGGTGGAGAGAAGTTTTACAAGCCAAGTCAAAGCAGGGTTCTGGTTATACCAATGCTTTATACACAATAATTTACCACACTGGAGTTTTGAGCTGCTCCACCCCCACAGTGGACCTGACTATTAATAAGCATGTGTGTCAAGAAAGCAGGTGGTGTTAATTAACCAGCCCAATTTTCAAACACCACCTAAATTAGGACATACCTCACATTACAACTAGCCTGTACACAAGGTGCCTGGCCATTCACTGTGACCCAACGCACAACCCCACACAGCGGTTTGCTGCCCTTATTTAAAAGTTAGGATTGTGCATTTAACATGGCTTCAACCCACCCCATCGCTGCCAGGCATTACATAGTCGGTAACCCCGAGCTCTAGCTGCAGAGGGTGCTGCACGAGCATGGATTGTGCAGACGAGGGAATCCATTAACATGGATGACCAAACACTAGAGAAAACTAATGAGTTGAATGGACCTGCTTTTATAGTCTGAAGCGATTCTGACCTTTAAAAGCAAGGATGAAAGCAATTTAATTTTACAAGTGGCAGCTTGTCAATCAAGCTAATCGATTGAGGAGCTTAAAGTGCATCTGAAAAGTAAAGTGAATGGAAATTGAACTGTACCACCCACGTTCCTCGCATGTCAATTTGTTGACATTGCAGCTTTCAGGATGAATTAAAGGCTGTTCAGGATTTAACTTAAGCACACAGTTTGCACACCCACTCTGTTCCAGTGCTGCCAAAGCCCCAACAGGGTCAGGATGGACCATGTTTGATACTCTGAGCTGTCTTTGTGAAGACTGTACTGGGTGCTCTGTGTTAGGAGCCAACCACAAGTCAAAGGAGCACTGCCATCGCTATCCAGTCCTGCCTCAGATGTGTAGATGGACAGAAGAAGGACTGAAGGCAGGAAGAAGGCAGGACAAGAGCTAGCCAGCACCTAGAATCCACATCTCATGCTTGAAACCAGGTACTCCAAGAAACTCCAGCAAATAGAAACATAAATACCAAAAAGCAGTCTACCTGACAACTGCTGTTGTGCTTTATCCCTCCGAGTACAAGATGGAGCTGCAGTCCCCAGTTCTGGGCTCACTCTGATTTTTGTCCTGCCTCCTTGAAGCAGAGGCTCCTCTGATTTTTTTCCCCTGCCTCCTTGTTGCTTACTGATTACCAGGGATCCCGGCTTTCTCATTTGAAAATAGCAAATTTTCTGATTAAAAGCTGCCAAATGTGTGATTAAAATGAGTGGGCAGGGCCTGGCACAGCAGGGCAGAGTGGGGCCAGGCAGAAAAGCTCAATGCTGCCACCCTGGCAAGGTACCTCCCTGCCCACCTGGCAGCAGCAAGGGGCACAACCATCAGACCCCCTGGTGCTGGCAGGCAGGGGACACCTTGCCAGGGCAGTACAGGGCTTGCAGTGGCAAGGAGCTTCCCCGCCAGGCCTCACTGCACCGGGTCCTGCCCGCTCGGCCAAGATCCCTGATGATTACGGTATTGGGAAAAAACAAATACATTTTTTTCTTTAGTGTCTGGTCCTTTTCTCCATCTACTTGGCAGCACCACATACATCCCATTTTATTATCTTCCCATTACAGCCAGTTCCCTTTTGTTTGTACGAGTCTTTCATATATTAGGGAAAAGAAAAAGGCATTTTAGAAAGAAAAAATCAGCACGGTCCAGTGGATAACACACCTGACTGAGACCTGAGACTGGGGCTCTAGTTCCTGATCTCACAGGCTGCTGGCAGATGTTAAAAAGTGGTGCTTTACTTTAAGCTTACTGTATTCCTGCACTGAGCCCAGCACATGCTCAGAAGCCATACAGCGTTAGTCGGACCCGGCTCACCCAATATCTGTATTGACTGGGTGCTTCAGTGGGTTTTTTTGGCACTTTTATTCAACAGCTGATTGTATCAGCTTTAGCTAAAAGCACTAAATAAGCCTCACTGATGCACCCAATGTGTACAGATGCTGTGGGGCCCGGTCCAAGTAACACACTGCTGCTTCCTATAAAGCACATTTTTTTTTGTTTTTTTAAAATGTCTGCAAGCAGCCATAATGAGCACTGGAAAGCTGCAGAGACTAACAAGGTAGTTATTTCCCTTGCCACCTTTTGCCTGGTCTTAGCCAGTGCAAGCTTTAAAATGGCCTCTGCTCTGATATGCACATAAAGTGTTTAGCAGATGTCATCTCTGATCTTGTTTGGGTCTTTAAGGATTATTGTAGCAATTTTAGAGCATAAAAATGGAAATGTGCAACCACAGAAAGGAGGAGAGGGCTGAAGGGTAAATGTAGCATCTGAAACACCTTTCAGAAGAACTGAACCAGCCAGATACAGTGTTCCCTTGAGCCAGCATGTTTAGATGTTCTTCCAAGCTGAGGGGAAAAAAGAAATCAGCCACTGGGTCTCCAGGGATGAAATGTGATGCAAACATGCAATACGCCCTTATTCAAAGTGGAGGGTTTAAACACAGCCAAGAACAGTGGCCAATTTCTTGGCAAGAGTTAAATCTCCTACTCGTTGGAAGCTAGGGAGAAAACTGGCAAATGCAAGCCTACTAAACAAAATCCACAACATAGTATAGTACATCCAAAGCATAAGTGCTCAGGAGACTCAGGGAAAATATAAACAGTGTGCTGGGAAAAAAGGAAGCTTGCCCCTTGCATCTGCTCAAGGAATGACCAAATCCCAAGCAAGTCACATACGTGCAGCGCAAAAAGACGCACTGCTGACGAGCCAGGTCTAAAATCCTATTCAGATTGAGAATAATAGTATAGCTGTGATAGACATCATCACTACTGCAGGCAGCTCCAGGTCAGTAACTGAATATCAAGTACTTAACATTCAGGAAGTGGTAAGGAAAAGTTGTAAGGAGAGCATCTTTGGCAACAAGCAACATGCATACAGAACAGCTAATGAAAATCCCTCGTTAGAGCTGCTACAGTATTCAGCTTTTGCAGAACCAGAGTGAACAGGATTGTGAGGCTCTTCCAGAGCCACTCCTGAAGTGAAAAGGCTCCCAGGATAGCAACACTTACATACCTGAGATTTCATCTGCGCAGCCTTTTCTGGGTCAACTGCCAGGACATGTTGGTAATGGCGGATGGTGTGCAGACGGTCCTTGTTCTCAGCCCGGACGTAACGCTTCAGAGCTTGCAGGATGCGGTGAGGCTGCAGGATTTAGGAGTAGTTGAAATCCAACTGCTTACTCCAGGAACTAAGCCCTGTTCAGCGACTGCACTGGAATACAGCACTTGCAAAGTCTACTCTGCTTGACAGATCCTGGAAGGAGCACACCTATGTAGATCTCTCTGGTGATCCTCTTTTACAGCAAGTGCACTAGACAGCCTACTACACTTCACAAACAAATGTGGCATTAACCAAGTGCAGCTTCCTGCATAACAAGCAGAGTCTGCAGATCTTCAGTACAAGTTACCAAGACCTGTGCCAGGAGTCTGCTTTTCCAGTACCCTCAGCCCTGCCTTACAACGTCACAAGGCTCACTCCACAACAAGGCCTTCTCACCCTCCGCACCTCATCCACGTGGTCCCCGTCTCTACAATGCAGAATGCTCCAAGAAAACTCACCCGAGGGGGGTCTGCTTGCAGGGCTGCTAAATAGTTCTCCAGGGCAATGCGACGGCGGTCATTCAACATGGCTTCTACTCGCGCCAGGTGAGTCTCCACGAGCTGCTGCTTCTCGCTGGCTGCCTCTTTCTCTAGAGATTTAACCATTGCCTGGAAGTGCTGGAAAGGGGAAGCAAGGAGCTTTCGTAAGGTTGCTTCAGTGCTCTAGCAAAAAGGATGAATTCTACAAGAACGCCTACTTCTGCAGATCCAATAACTTTAGACAAGCAAGACGGGCAGGGTATGTGGGAGGGGGCCAAAGGCATTTTATGGTAGGGGAGAAGGACGTTAACAGAGGATCAATAAAGATTTAATATATGCTGTTTAAGTAATAATTACAATCAGACTTTCAAACTCAATTTACAGTCATTTTAAAGTGCTTGGAAAGCAGATAACCCTGTACTCTGCCTTCAGAACTAAGCGTCAGGAGGTGCAGACTGTCTTCTCAGTTCTCCTGAGACCTTAAGATCACCACCAACTCATTTTTATAAAGTGAGGACACCACCGTTACCTCCATCACGATATGGCTATTAACTCGTGTTCTGAAAGACTAGGAGATCAGATGGAAGGCACTTTATCAGAGTACCTGGGGAGTTCACCTAAAGAAGCTGTAGGATGCACATGTAGATAACATCAAAATAGAGCAGAGGACAAAAATGTATTTATTTCGGTCTTACAATGAATCCTAAAAGCGAGTTTTGTACCAACTGAGGACAGCCAAATGTCTGGAGATACTGCCCTCAACAGAAATCTTATTCTAGGTGCTTATTCCTTAAGTGTGCAGCGAGAGAGAGCTCACACTTAACAGAGGAGTCCAGAACTTGAGCGAGTTTTATTTTCAGCCTCATAGGTTCTCTATAGCTTTGCACAATTGGCCCCCAACACACGAGAGAAATTTTGGATCAAACCAAACAGGACAGACTACAAGGCCATTTGTCAGTGCAGTTGAACAAAACAGATGCCTGAAGTCTAAAGTTCCCTTCTGGCCGAGCTGCTGATAAGCCTGATGGGTAGTTTCATTTCCTGTTACCAGAGGGCGGATAAAAACTAGCACTAACTCCAGCTTCAAGAATAAGAGCCAGTGGATTCCAGTCTCACGTTCTTGGGCACAATCCAAGCAGGGGCAGGGCTGGCTTCCAACATTCAGGGCTTCCAGCTCAGGACACCAACCTCTTTGTCTGCCTCACTCAGGTGGACACTGAAGCTGCTGAGAACAGGAAACTTTTTGGATCCTCTGATTCTTACCTGGATGAGGGTTTGTCTCTCTGCCTTGGGGAGATTCTTGGCTTGACGCTCTGCTTCCTCCCATTCCTTTTTCACCTTAGTAAAGAAAAAGGAAGCTACATTAATAAGGTTCAAACTTACTTTGGGGCTAGCCTACAGGCACAGAAAACCAGCTGCATCAGAAGGCCTGTAATCACAATCAGATGTTTCAAATTCAGGGTCGTACTTGGCAATTAACCCTGCAGAACAGAATGTTTATTGCTCCTGATAACCATCTTTCCCAGCACATGGTGGGGAAGTGGGGGATAAATATAAACCACAAAACCATCGGGCCTTGATGCAAGACCTCCAGGGAAGCCAGGTCTAACGGGAAAAGTAGCTGGTCAAACACACAAGCAGCCACTATGCACATCAGGGCAACAAGCTCACCCTGTCCATGCGGTTGTGATGTCGGACTTCTAGCTGCTCCTTTGCTTTCTGGAAGCGGGCATGCTCATTGTCATCTGCTGGGGTTTCGAAGTAGACATCCACGTCATCGGTGGGTACAGGAGTAGGAGGAACTGCAGAGAGAGCACAAGGGATTCAGACACTTTCTACCATCTGGGCTTCACTTGCATTAGGTGCCAGGAGTGGGGAGGGAGAGGAGTTTTCATGCCTGCAGAATGGACCCTCTGTTAAATAGACCTTGGTGATCTACTACCCATCAGAAGTCCATTTTGATATTAAGCTATTAATTTTGTTTCAGTTACATCATTCCAGCTACACAGGAACGCACCAGGGCAACCAGAGCCCAGACAGTCTTCACATTAAGTTTGAGGAAAGTATTGTTCAGCTCCACAAAGAAAACTGCTGCCTAAACTGCAGAACAAAGAACTTACTCTCCCTTCCCTTCACGCCTTTTTTTCCTGCCTAAGCATGATGTTTTGTGTATTAGGTGCTGGCTGACAAACCAGCTCCAGGCAGCTGACACACAAACCAGGAGACCTGGTCAGAAAAGCCACACCGCACAAAGCTGTTCAGGGATCCATGCAATCTCATCGACTGAGGGATCTGACAGCAAGCCTATAACCTGTACCAAGTATGACAACAGGACTAACAAGCAGTGAGGTTAGACAAGAAAGCACTTTGAGGATACCCACCAAGATGAGTTCACTCATCCAATTGATTGGAAGGCTCTGACTTTCCTAAAGCATTCAAACGTGGCAAAAAAGTTACAATCCACCAATGTTTACCTGTACAAAAGTTCACTATAACTGTGACAGTGGCCTTTGTGCTGGTGTATTATGACTCAGTGGAGTATGGAGACAAATTTGTTTCTGCACTGGCCAGATTATAGAAGAGCCCTGGTATCATGTCACGCATTCAAAGCCCTTTTGAAAAAACAAAGGCACTACGACTAGCATTGTGGTCCTTGTATGAATTTATTACACAGCCTTAGGTGCATATGGGGGGCAAGAGGAAATGGAGAAGACTCGTGCCCGAGAGAAGACCAGCTAACCCCTATTTAAAGTGGGCCAAAACATTCAAAACCTGACTGTCTTATGATATAGGCAATAGGGACTTTCATTAGCCATCTTATCTCAATTAAGGTGAGTCTCAAAATCAATGCAGGCTACATTTCATTCAGTACTGTAGCATCAATATTGGACTGGCGATCTGTCCCAGCATCTACCTGAACCCACAGCTTTTGAGTACTTCTCTTCCTCAAACTAAGTGTAACAAAGGCTAGGCTAAGTACAGTCGTGTGAAAAAGGCACCAAATGCTGATCCAGGTTACATTTTGGGCCTGCTCACAGCATCTTTGACCCAGGCATTGACAGAGACCTCCATATCCCTCCCCAAATCCCTCTGGGACAGGACAAACTTTTGTACAAAAACCTCCTGACATCCGCATCTTTATTTCACCACTTTGGTCAGATCAGCCCAATCTAAAGCACTTGCATGAAGCCTATTTTGTAAACAGGATTATGGCTGTATAGACCAACTGCCAAGCCCCAGATAACACAAAAAGCCTTTCAAAAGGCTTTAACAGCAGCTGAAGTGGAAGTGCTGGAATTCAGCAATAAGATTAATAAGGAGGTTAAAATGTTTTTGGGTAGCTTTATCATCAGCATAAAAGCCAGCTGAAGCTAGTGCCAAAAACCTCAAGCTATCAAATGCAGGATTGAGTCATGGTTCATATTTCTAATGGAGCAGAAGATAGGAGTTGGAATTCTGCATCAGCTTCACCAGGGATTTTTCCAAAAGGCACCAATAAGAAACAGCCTCCTCCCAGCAGAACTGACTAACAGCATGCATTTCAGGATTGATCAGTCAAACCCATGCATAATACTCTGACTGGAGAAGACAAAGGTTCCCTCCCAGGGCAGCTGGGAAAGCAGCCAGCTGGGTGAATGAACCAAGGAGGCAGTCTCATACCAAGAGAGTTTAAAGAAGTTTCCCAGTTCTCTACTGCAGACCTGGAGAGGGATAATTGAGTCCTGTGTTAATTAAAGTCGCAAGCCAAGAGGTGAGCAGAGACCACGTATGTTGACCAGCCAGTTTCGCCTAGAAAGGAAGCTAAGTCTATAAAGCTAGAGGAACAGAGACAAGAGGACTGCTGCAAAAAGGACAGAGGGAAGTGCTTCAAACACCAGAACCAACAGGATGGGCTACACACGCATCCTCACTTGGCCTACGCAAGGAGATGATGACACCAAACGCCAGACAGGACAGTGGCTTGCTGCAAAAGGGCCAGTGGGAGGCAGGACTTACTTATCTTTTTACACACAGCCATACAATATTCCTCTGACTCAAAATTGTTCCTGTTGCCTCCGCAGCCTCCATATATAAAGCGAATGCATTTTCTCTTGTTAGGGTCGAAGTACCAACGAGGCATCACAGCCCGGCAGGGACCTGTCATCGCCTCCTGGGAGCAGACAACTGTGTGGAGATGGGTTAGAACATCAGCTCATGAGGAGTACAGGCTTGATCGAGGTGATTTAATAAGTCAGTGGTGGCTCTAGGTCAGACTTTTCACTGGGTACTTGTGTTGGCTTAGGGAGCCACTACTATACTCTGGAGTATGCTTTTTAAAGGGCTATATTGGAAGTACTCTTCAGTGTTCATGAAGCAGCTACCACAGCAGCCCAGTGAAGTGCTGCTGTTAGGAGACATTGGAGCAGTTGTCTCGGCACAGAGCCATCCCTTGTGGAGCAGAGAACTGGGGTAAAACAAGTTCCTCTGGCTATGCTTTGGGTGTTGCAGTAGTGGAGAGTATCCACTACTGAAAACACACTTTAGGCAACATGATAAAACAAGGTCTGTGGAGGCAGCTTGAGATACCCCCAAAAGGGAGGCCTTTACAAACCTGACACCTTAAGAGAGGAAGAGATATAAAGGCAACTGAAAATACAAACTAAACACCTGGGACTGTGTTGCTGTGGGGATCACAGCAGCTGGATTTGAGAGTTCTGAGAAACCCAAGCACTCTAAACAGTAAATTGCACAACAGTGGTATTTTCAATGGCCCTGGACATCACTGCAGCAAGCATTCAGCACATTATATAGCTGCAGGATTGCAGAATTCTAGCTTGTATAGCAAATAACAGTTTAAATGCTTAGGGAGAGAACCAGTCGTTTATGCTAGACATCCTCTTTTCTAAAACACTGTAGAAGGAAACAAGATGGGCATCCCTGGAACAGACGCTCTCAAAAGCCAGCAAGATACATTGATCTCCTTGTTTCAAGTCTATTTTAACATCTGCAGATCTTCGACAGCCCTGCACATACAATCTAGGCCCTGTTTCAGTGAGTGAAATTATCTGCAGCATGCTGGCATTTTACCAGCAAGAAGAATTTTACCCGCAAGATGCAAGAACTACTGGCAATGATTCAGTGATTTGTAGTTAATTGAATTTCACTTTCACCCCCCTCCTTCTGCGGACACTTATACACTTCAAAATATAGGACGATCTACAGCATGGAAGCACAACAGCCAGTCAGCAGATGCTCCTCGGCAATAGCACCTGCTGTCTGACAAGAGCAATAGCAAATATTTAGACAGATATAGAAGTGACGTTGGCTGTAATGGGTTCAGTTTCCTTTAGCAAAGAGACAAGACTTTTATGCTAAGGCTGGGGTATGTAAAAAGAAAGGGGGAAAAGCAGATTCAAGTGAATTTTTTATCTTGCATAAGGTAAGGAAGCCAGATGCTCAGCTTAAAGTCCACCCCAATTCTAACTCCCTGGCACCCATGTAGTAAAAAGGAAGACAAACGAAACCAACACTGGTCACTCAGAGCTAGAGAGATCCCAACTGGAAGAGTGCCACAGGCTGGTTTACAGGCTTTTCTAAAATTAGGCTATGCAAATATTCTCTTCTGGCTCAATACTACACCTTGATGGAGGTACTCATTCTATGTGCCAGTCACCATCGGTTTTGCTGGCAGTGAGCCCAGCTGTCTGGCAGCATAAGGCCCATACTCTAGTGAGTTAACTTCACCTTCAGTACTTGTAAGGTAGGCATCATCAGCTGTTCTTTGTTTGCTGACCTATCTGGCAAATAAGGCCAAAGTGGCATCTACTGGATGGATCAAAAGCACCATTAACAATACAGATGGCAAGGTCCATTAACAGCCGATGAGCATAGCTTCAGTGCATCAGGGATGTGACAGGCTGAAAAGCGACTTACCTTTCACATCACTGATAATTTCCTTTTCAGAAAGAGACTTGTCACTGCTGGGTTCTGTGGGGGTCTCTTCATTGTAATCATCCACTTTATAACTGTCATAATAGTAATCGCGATCTTCCACCACTTCCTCCTCCTCCTCCCCTTCCTCATCTTCCTCCTCATCTTCCTCCACAGCTGTTTCTGTGAAGTCTTCTACATCTGCCTCAGTAGGGAACTCACTAAAGGGAGACAATTAGAAGGGAGAGTTAAAGCTAATCACTTTGCAGCCAACCTTTGATGTAGAAGAATAATGATTCTCTTTTCATCTCTTTTAGAGCCACTAGAGATGGGAGAATAAATGTACCGACTGTTGATCATCCAGTCAACTGCAGCTACAGGAGTTCTCTCATTACAGCTACACCTGCTATTATAGTCATAGCCTCTTTAAGCCTCTAGCTCAACAGGGCTTTATAATGTTTTCCCCATCGGCTTCATTTCACTAAGCTGAGGACTGCAGCTTCTGAAGCCAGGCATCTCTGGTCACAGCCAGACAGTAATTTTTTTTTACTGGCTATGGATTGAGATCGTAGCAGCAAATCACTTGGCTCTGTACTAATTTTGAAAGAGGGTAGTGAAGCCATTTGTTCTTCTCAAGAATGAGCGACTTCTCCACATCCATGATGCGCCTCCTGTGAAACCAAAAGCAAAGAAATTCCCTCCTCCATCCTCCTGGCAAGGGGAATTGGTAGTATTAAGCCAATAGCCTCATTACATCCATGTTAGTCTTGCAAGGCAATCAGAAACCCTACCTTTTATAAAGGTCATAGTCTTCATCTTCATCCTCATCTTCTTCCTCTTCCTCTTTGGAAAGGGCTTCGTCAACAATTTTGGTCTGAGGGCAACATACGTACTCTGTACCATGGAACTGGTCTACTCCACAAGGAAGCAGCATGCCATAACTGTGCAGGATCATCCCCTCTGTCAGACATGCCTGAAAGGGAAGCCATAGTCAAGTTAGTCTTCTCTTAAAACAGCACGTTTGTAGAGCATCACATTTTGCTTAAGGCTTCATCAACCATGCAATTCCAGTAACACTACCAATAGTATAGGCTTTACCATACACAAGACACAAGGTATTTTAATCCTGGTGTCGCAGAGCCTTACACAAACAGTGCAGAAAAGTGGGTAAAATTTTGTAGCATAGGTACAATCTTAGAGAGATCTTACAGTCACACAACACAATATTCCTTGCTGTTGATGATCTGAACTGCCGAACAATTGCTAATGTGTTTTAAGCTAGTGTTCAGTTCTGGCAAAATAACCAGGCTCTGAGTGCCAAATTATTCAAGTTGTTTCATGCCAAAGAGGCAGCACTTCAAAGTAACGGGTTTTTTTTTTTTTGGTCAGTCATTTCATTAACTTTCTCTCTGTAAATAGGAGTATGTGCGTAATTGCTTAAATAGGCTTTGCGTTAAGTTTATTTTTACATGCTGTGGCTGAAAAAAAAAAATCTAATTGGGCAATTCGGGACAAAGTCAAAATGTGAACAGCAAGTAGAAACATTAACAGCACACTGATTTTAAACTGGGGAAGTATATGGTTTTATGGCTACACAAATGAATGAAATAATAAAACCTTTATTATATACACTGGAGCTCTTTTGTATCCTTTTTGTTTTGCTGCATTATGGATGTAAGAAAGATCCAAGTTTGTTATCTGGATGAATTTTGCAACTCCACGTCCAAGACAAACAACTTTTAACTTTCCATGTACTTAAGGTTGGCTACGAAGGAGGCCTTCAAATTTAAAAGGTGCTCTGCTGGCACCAATTTCTACAATAGCTGAGCAGCAATGGGATGTATTAACGTTCAAAAAATAGACTTTTCAACCTTGTCAGCCTCAATGCTAAGTGGCTTATTTAAAGCCTATATTAACAATACTGCATGCACTCTAGTCATTGACATCATTCCATCATCATCAGTTGAAGTGAGTGTGCATTGATTTTAAATAATTATTTTTCCCCAGTTAACCAAAGAAGATGGGATACATTTTTTCTTGGGACTGAAGAGGGGGTTTTATTCAAGACAGGCTTGCAATTCCAACCTCTCCAGCAGTAGCTGCCACACAAAATAACATCTCCCTACAACTCCAATTCTTATCCCTGGGAATGGTAGCCTGGGAAACCAGAGTCTAGTCCACAAATTGTGCTTCAGCTGGGACCATGACCATGGATAAATCCCCTGGGGTGACACTTCCCCGAGATAAACGATGCACGTAGATTTAAGTCCCCAACACGTTTCTGAAATTTTAGCTTTAGCCTCGTTCAGAATTTGTAAAACGAGGATAAGAGTGCTTTAACATATTTAACCTCTATACCGCTGTAAAACAGACACTGAGTTGTTCAGAAACTCTGTAACAAAGACAAAATAGCCAAGATTGATATTCCCATATACAGATGTTGTTCTGGTCACATTAGCCAATTACCTCTTTGGCCACAGTGTGCCAGTGCTGGTGACTTTCACACACATCCATCCGTTCCTTGTGGAAGAATCTGCACTTCTCTGGAACTAGAAGGACATCGCTTACAAACTCACCCACTGCAAAACAAGAAGTTTCCATCAATAACAGTTCACGTCCCTATAGATACATTCTTGACCCTCAAACTCAAGAAAAGACTAGCATTAAAATCTTCAAACGGGACATTTGGTTATTTACTCCACTAGGTATCTGCATGGTGCTGCACAAAACTTTAAAGTTCAGGTGTACATCAATAGCCACCTTTGGAGAGGTGCTCTAATATAATGCCTACAAAGCTCAGAATTTAGGTATAAAAAGTAAAAACCTAGTGGACTGATCGAAGTAGTACTACTAAAAGCCTGAACAGAAGCTGAATGCAAACTTAGAAAGAAATTACAACGTACAGTAACAAAGTTTCATGCAGATCTTTGGTCTGAAAGCACTGTTTGTATGGTATTCTGTAAAAAACGTCATCATCTAATTTCTACGTGAGCTTGCATTACGCGCAAGAAGGTAGCTTTGGGCCACCAGTATTTCCAAAGCCAGCATATTTGCTGTATGAGCATTTTCCATGGTTGTAGGGCATTACTAGCCATTTTCTGCTTATGTCAGGAAATACATAAGCTCCTAGCTCACTTCATTGCATCAGTTTTGAGACAGTTTGGGGTTAAGATTAAAAACAATTTTTGCTTCAGTTGTTCAAATACATGCTACCCATACACTAGATCCAGGGATGAATGCAAGTCACCCATGGCTAAAGCATTTCTTCAGCTGGATACTCCAAGAGAAATGCTGAAAGTTGGAAAACAAAAGCCCTGTAAGCCCACACAACTATGTAAAGCAGATGTCAGACTCTGACATACAAACCCCACCTACAAACTGAACAGTATGTTTCCGATAGCCCTGGCTACCAACTTCTGCACTGTAACAAAATCACTCTGCTTGATCAACTTAAACCCTACTAATGCAAATGGTTGAACACAAGTCCTAAATATCTACTACAGCTAAGTGTAGCAACATTAAAATGACACAAAAAAACAAGACTCTATCCAATGCAACCACCACCTTCTATGTCAAAGCCAGGGCATTCATATTCTAACTGCAAAGTAAACCCCCACCAAAGTCCAGAATTATTCTAGGTAGCCTTGGAGATCCAGACAACACTTTCAGTAACTTTAATCAGAAAGGTGACCAAATCCCCTAACCAAACTAGAACATCTTAAAAACCCAGATGTTCTGAGGCAGCAAACCCATGCTAAGTTAAAAACACACCCTCATTTCTACAGACTGATCAGTGTGTCTATGCATCAGCTCATGACTCAGGGGTGCACTTGGTAGCCGTGTTGGTCTCAGACCAACAAGACATCCAAAACACTAGAACTCTTGGTTCCAAAATGATACCTTTTATCATTCTGGAACCATGAGTTTTTGTATGTCAACTCATGACTGACACCGACAAGATCACATTTAGGCAAAAAAATTTTTTTGATTGACTGGCTAACAAAAAAAAATATGGAGGACAAGCACTTCAAAGGACAAGGTGGTCTTTTACTTGGAACTCTAGGGAGTAGTTGTCCCAGCCACCTTGAATGTGTCCTCTGCAGACACAATCTCAGTAGTTCAACACACAAACTTTTGCCAAGCCCACACAATTGATGCCAAAGATACAGATGTCCCAAGCATACTTCTTCTGTGCATGAAGTCAAAATAGAGTTCGTGGATTAAGTTACCTGCAAACTAATGAGGGCAACAGTCAAGCAACTACAGACAACTGTTCATCCCCACCTCTCATCTCTTATCACACCAGTTCGGAAGTTCTCTCCTCTCCTGAAAGACGGACCCCATTTAGAGGACCAAACCAGCACATGCTGCAAGTATATGGCACATTCCCTCCCCAACCCCCCATCCCTGATCAATGCTTACAAAGCTCTCTCCTTTCAGAGATCAGCCAGCCACATCAGGCATTTCCATGCTGTCTAACAACTTAGCCAGAACTGTCAGCAGTTTGCCTTTTCACACTTCACCAGACTCAGTCCTGCTCCCAGCATCCTATTGTTAAATTTATTTTACAGTTCATTGAAGGTGCTAATGGGTTCTCCTCACTCCCCCCCACACTTTTAAAAACAAAAAGCTTCATTGACAGTGGGGGGAAAAAAAAGGTTGAATATCATCTGGTGGAGAGATCCTGTCTGAAGATGAACTGGGGATTAATGCAGCATGGAAGAGACAAGCAGCACAGGGAACACAAAAGTACTTTGTGCAATGAGCACAATAAATGCTTTGATAGGAGGAAAAATCATACCTTCCCTCCATTGCTGCAGTTCACCTGTTTACAACAAGTAATTCAGCAACTGATCACCGATGCTGACAGGTAAAGTTAATAGGGAGAGGTTTTATTCACATGCAGACACCCCATCATCTGCAACCAGGAATATTTGAGAACTGAAGCTGCCTTATGAGCCGAGTCCCCTTTTTCAAAGCAACTTAAAGATACTGCATATGGTTAAAGAGTTTTTGATGTTTCCTCTCAGGTAAGCACCACTGCGGAGCACTGCCTTTGCTGTTTCCGCAGAGTCCAGCATGAGCAAAATGGCACCTGGCACGTTTGCGTGAGTCAGCAGAAACAGGGCAGCACAGCTTAAGGACCACAGCTTGTAGTTACAGGCAGTTTGTAGGAAGGAGAGTCCTGACTTTCCTTATCTTTGACAGATGTACCCAGTGTACCAAGCATTTACTCCGCCGTACCTCAGCTTCCCAAGCTGTAAAGAGCTGATAGCAATGGAGCCCTCCTTGATAGGAAGGCATTAATGTTGGTAACATCTGTGAAGTGCTTTGAGATGCTCCGGTGGAAGGGCTGTACAGAATGAGACCTCTGTAAAAGCCCATCAGTCCACTTTTCCTTTCTGACTCGAGTTGCATTCAGTCCTCAGAAAGGTCCACAAATGGAGGCGCTGCAGAGAGAACTGTTCTCGCAGCACTTCCTATGAAGCGCTCCCCACTCCACCCCCAGGCATTTTGGAGAATGCTCTGCACGACGGCACAGGATTTGTTTTAAAAAGCTAAGCAAATCTGCTCAAGCAAAGAACTGACAAGGGATCTGACTAAGCTCAGTCTCCCTTTGCCACTGCCAGAGCTGTCTGTGATGGGCTTGAGCTGATGTTCACAATGCACAGGTCAGAAGTCCCTGCTGTAAACAAGGAGACCGTTTATCTGGGTGCACGGATTCAATAAATGCAGTGTAATCTTATCACATCTAACGATCGCTGGCAGTTAACACTAGACACATTTTGGGATCCCACTTGGGGGAAGAGGAGCCATTTGAAATCACTAGGTATCAATACAGTCAGTCTAAGAAAAAGAGAGATGTCAAATCTAAAACAGGGAACATGATCATACTGAGAATCTGAGTCTCTGAAGTAACAAAATATTAAACCTTTGCAGAGAGAGGATCAATGTACTAAATCCCAAGGTCTATGATATTCTAACACAATAGCCTTTAAGTTATTTGACAGTTGCAGAGAGAATATGGATTTCTTTTTCATGTCAGTCACCGTTATTCCTATGTAGCTGCAATCAAGCTGTTGATCTGCTGAAGCGGGGTTGTGTAGGGTGCCACCTTATAGAAATAGGTATTTTACAGGAATTTAGAAAAGTGGTCTCTCAGGTGAAAGAAACCTTTAAGAGGTTGGCTCCTTTCCAAGCAACCAAGCTGGGTATCAGGATCTAGAAGACAACCCCCTCCCACCCCCTGGAAAAAGTTCTTGCTCCTTTGAGACCCACTTCATGGTACATACTTACCCAGACACTTGTAGGGCACAACAATGTGAGTGTGATCCTTGCACTGCTTTTTGCCTTTCTTGCACCAGTTGTCAATGCTGACCGGTTGGTTGGCTTCTACCACATTTGTAATCTGAAGCTCTGGATAGATCTGTTTATTAATGGCAACAAAAAACAGAACAAAAAAACCTTTATTAGAAAGGAGCCAAAGCTATTCCTACCAAGACCATGACACAGGACACGTAAGGGGGTCTCTGAATAGGGAAGATACAAGCAGGTTCTCTAACTCAAAACAACCTAATGAAGTGTTAGATTATCTTTAACCCACCTATTTTGTATAATGTATTAATACGATAGCTATGTTGTGCTCAAGTTCTCCTGAAGTCTAGACACTGGCTTATATTTAGGTTAGTGCTATGTGAACCAGATGCAGTACTGGTTATATCAGCCTTGTAAAATAGTCATGCAAGCCTAGACATGGTCTGCTGTTCCACCCTTATGCTTAAAACTGAATAGCCAAATGATATTTTTACTTGCTTGTCAACAATCCCTCATTCCAGATGAACAGGAAAATAGATCTCACAAGGCTAATACGCTGAAGTACAAGAGCATATTGCAACGAGAACAGGAGTTTGCAACAGGGGAAAAAAAAAAAAAGCTTTCAAATACTGCCAAGGTTTACAAGACGACATTTTTGTAATATTCTAGCAGCTTTGTGCCGGCCTGAACATAATGCCAATGATAACACAACTACACTTTAAATATTTAGATTAGATATGGAATGCTGTCAGAACTCCACTTTGCACGTACACATAAATCAGCATAACGTGTGCTAGTTTTGGTTAGGAAGCTTAGAGGCTAGGATGGTCAAAGGCGCTCAAGTCCCTCTGAACTGTAATGGGTCACAGGCATGCAACTCTCTTGAGGACTCCTAGCCTAAAGTCAGTTACCTTATACACCTCAATCTTCTTTGGGGAAAGGGATCTAACTCCTTCTCCCTCTTCCCCCTCTCCCCCCACAGATTTTATCTTGGTCTTTTTGGGCTCTAGCTACACGCTCGACAGCAAAACAAAAGGAACAGGATGTCATGCATTGGCAAAAGAGCCAGTTTGCTGGAACACTCATCCTCAAACACATGAAGAGGCATGTGAAAACAAGACCTGATCAGATAGAAGAATAAATTTCCTGTTTTCTGGCATTCTACTAGCCGGCATACTCTATTAACCGGCACCGTGCCGCCACCGCTGTACCACTACCATCCACCACTCTGCACCGCTGTGTGCAACCCCCATCCACGTGCCGCCACCGCTATCTACCACCCCGTGCCATTGCACGCAAGCCCCACATCCAGCTATTTTTAGATAACCGGCACCAGGCATTCCCCACTCATGCTGGATAATAGGGATTTTACTGTGCAAGCTAAAACTTCGCAATTTCTTTCCAGAGAAGAGCCGCCTCACCTCCTGACAGTACTGCAGAACCTCTTCCTTTCGTCCAAAGCAGCTCTTGGTCCCAGAAGTATCGGGCTCCCATTTCCCAGTCTGGATATTCACGTGCATATTTAGCTTACCACAGAACATGGCAATCTGAGGTTCAGCCACAGCAAACCCTGTTCCAGCATTGGCTGCAAGTGCCTATAAAGAAAAAGCCAAGGTTACATTTTATTCCATTAACCAGAGTCCATTCAGAATGGGTCACAGCAGAAGGACCGTTTCAGCCCTTCAAGATCAAGTTATTAGCCCAGGCTATAAAAGGAATCTATTACCAAGTGAACACATCTAGAAAGGTGATTTTAACCTTCTCCCTTGAAGATGGGAGCATATCATGTTTTTCAACCAAATTGTTTATTTTCAAGTCTTATCACCTTCCTCCTCCTACTCTGCCATAACAGTTTACAACAGTCATTTACATTTGCAGATGCTGGCACACACTGCAGGGCACAGACCTCTAGAAAGATTAGAGCTCACCGCCAAACCATAACATCGGGAGGGAGTGTCACATTTTTTCCCATGTTAACAGCTATGAACCAGAGGACTGAACAACGACCTTGAAACCCATCCAACAACTACACTGGTTAGTGTAGAACCCAATAAAGCCACCCACTGAATAAGGCCTGCTCAGGTTTTAAAGAGGCTGTTTCTCAAGACTACTCTGGGAGAGAGAGAGTGGGACAAGGAAGAATTGGGATCTAATTTCTGAAGTAAACCGCCCCCCCCTCAAAAAGCCATTCCTAATGAAAATGCACAGGAGACGAGTAGCTGTTGAAATGTACTCTGCAAACCCTGCCATCCTCCCTCTTCTACCACAGCCCGATGGGTATTTGTATTGGCAGTGCCTTCTGATGCAAATGCCATAAACTACGCCACCCACCACCAACTGACCCTAGAGTTGTACAACTGGCATCCTGCAATACAGACATCTTCTAGTCGTGTAACAGATTTATGAATGAAAGGAAAGATTAGACCCCTTCTGTTCTCAACTCCTGCTGCTGCCTAGTAAGGGAGATAAATGGACTCAGACAACAGGGTTTTTGTTAAATCAGACCAGGGGCATACCAGGAGTTTAACAGCCTGCTTATTTTTACTAGCTTCTAGAAAACAGGCGTACCTTTTCAGCAGATGGAATACAAAATCCACTTTTCACTCTAAAGCAATTCCAAATTTTGCAAGGCAATGGAGACTTGTTGCAAGATTTCCGGCCAAGGGTCCAAACAGCAGCTAGACATGGAGATTTTGAAGCATCTCTGCCCGCGTGCTTCTTTCCTAGCAGACACCGATCTTTTTAGCAAGACCGGTGGCCTTGCAGACCCAACCCTCCAAACACTTGCACACTACTGCATGTCCAGTTTGTCCCCATTGCCTGAAGATGTTTATTAGGTACGTAAACAGGAGTGTGCTTACAGCTAATAATCATGGATTTGACTAGGCCACAATGCACTGGTTGCCCTGTTAACATCCATATTCCAGTAACTGAACAATGCCAGGTATAAATGTTTCCGATCTTGCTATGCCTTTGACCAAGTCCCAAGACTGTTTTAGCCTTTAACTTACATGCAGCTGACAAAATGTCTGCTCTGTCCAAAGTTGGCTGGTACAAACCAATGAACTGCTATTTATAGCAAATCCTATTTGCCATTACACACGAGATAGGCCATAGGCCCAAAAATTAAATCTGTAGCAAAAACAAACTGGAACTCCAGGTCCCAGCTTGGCTCTGGACCCTGAGGCATGGAGACAGTTTAAAGCAGGGGTGGGCAATTACTTTGGGCAGAGGGCCGCTTACTGAGTTTTGGCAAGCCATCGAGGGCCACATGACAGGCAGCCAGGGGCAGATAAATATTAATTTTCTAAATTTTTGAGGGGCCCCGTAAGCCAGACAGAATGTCCTGGCAGGCTGCATCTGGCCCACGGGCTGCATTTTGCCCACCCCTGGCTTAAAGTAATTTCCAGTGTTGTTTCTTCTCAGGCTAAGGAGGAGTCAGGCTTGAAGATATCCCCTCCTTCCCGTTTCCCCCTCACTTGACTACTCTGTCCTCTTGGAGCGGGGCACAAGAGATGGCAAGCGTTAAGGAGGAAGAAAAACACCATATGCTTTGCTTCTCACTATTCCAGAGTAGTGACGAGCCAGGTCAAAGGAACAGCATCTTGCTTAGGAAAAAGGGTTGGACAAAGTCAGCAAGGTCCCTTACAGGGACAGTCAGACAGGACCAGAGGCAGTGCAATAGGTCCGGGGAGAAGATTTCTTCCATACCCCAGCCCAGTGCTGGGAAGGAACATACATTTCATGTCTAGGAGTTCAGCCCACATGCCTTAGCTGAACAGAATCAGCTCTCTCATGGAACAAAGCTCTTTTATAGCAATCACATGAGGCATCAGATAAATCATGTATGACAGCAAGATCCAGGTTTATGCATTTCACCCACCACTGTAGCACCCAAGGTCCTTTCCAGGAGACCAAACAGAGGTCCATATCCTATAGTCCCTCAATGAATGCATACAAGATCAAGTCCTCCTACAGGGAGGGCCCAGTGTGGACACCAGAGAATACATTCCATCTGGCTATATGGAAAATTTGGAAACAGAGAGATGAATCTAAAATGAACATCAGACTGAGGAATCTCCAATGATTAAAAAGGGATTTTCTTTTGCAGCAAGCCCAACTCTGGAAAGTCCTGAGCCTCCTTACATACAACATTCTCTTTTCCCTTAAACCAGGATGTTTTCCCACTTGCTGTATAAGTGGGAGGAGAGGACTTGCTCTAAGTATTACAAATCAAAAAACCCCACAGAACTCTAACTCTCCCCCCAGCTTCCTGGTGAGGAAGAGAAGTTCCTTCTAAGACTGAGACTTTTTCAAAACAAGAAGAAAGAGAGAAGTTCCTAAACCCCATTGAACTACCAAAGTCACAATAACACTGTGATTATACACGACTGCAAAATGCCAAATCCCTGGAGTACTAGACCAATAAGTCCAAGAGGCTGCAAACAGAGACCTGCTTACCCCTCCTACAGAAAGATACCATGAAGGTTCCCAGCTGCCGAGATCATGGTGGCCCAGTGAATTAGGAACTGCATAATGGCATACTATGCTCTGGAAAATCTCCCTCGTCCAGATAAGAAAAGGGGAATTTTACACAGGCAAAACACAGCAAACCAATGGGATGGACTGGCTTGGAAAGGGACAAACAGCAGAAGCCCAAGCTGACTATAAAAAGTCCCCACAATTCCCTCCCCCTTCTCTGTACACTTCCCCAACTATTGCTGATATGCCATCGTAAGAACTGATGCAGCTTTGGAGACATCCCTTACCTGCCTGGCTAGGGGTCGGTTTGCTCACAGGGCTAGCCTGTCAGTTCCTGTTATTCCGGTGTGGCGCGATAAGCCCATGTGCACGTAAACACATTATTTATCTAACTCCGTTTTCTAACTTTGGGTGAAAGAACTTGTATCCGAGTACAACCAAGACACAACCCTAACTCAAATGTAAAGATTCCACCTCTTGCTGCAGTAAAGAGTTCACTATGAACAACCAACAGACTTACAGGAGCACGCTTATAGCCAAGACTTACACAGTTTAAGTCTCAGATGCCATAGTAGGCAGCCAAATGCACTGCCTTATGGTTTATAAGCTTAAGTAGCTCTATCTGTTCTCATCCTGGTACCACTGGTTTCCTTCAGGACACAAGACTTAACAAGTGCTGTAGGAATTTAAATTGACTAGACATTAAGAAAAACCAAAACCAGAACCCCTTTCAGTTGGTGATCAGGCTACCAAGCAGACCCAAGGATCCAGAATCAGGTGATGGAAGAGCAAGTAGAGCCAAAAGAAATGAGAGAGGGGATGCAAAATGAATGCTGGCATGAACAGATGCTACAGTACATCAAAACAGGATGTAGTACTTGGGCTGTGCTTGGCTTGGAGGACTTGGCAGTCATTAGAACAGGCCAGGCTCAGAGCACTCCTTTGAGGAAGACTCTTTCAAATACAAGTTCAATAGGTGCACACTGGAAGAACTGGGTGCTTGCAGGTGCAGGGTACCACCTGGATAGGCAAAAATATCTAGTAAGAAAAACATCCGTTCAAAATAGCTTCTGCACGAGCACAAACCTTTTCCAGCCCACAGTCACACGACTCCTGCAACCCAAGGCCATGCTGCGTTTAAATACTTCTTGCCATCAGTGATTATTTTTGCCGTCTTTTCAGCTTACAGCCTCAGCGCTGGGGAAAGGTATCTTTCCTCTCTGGATTGTTCAAATAATTCACATATCAGTGGAGTGCTGTTGCCATAGCTACCTGAAGGTTCAAAACCTTAATTCACAGCTGAACAAACACCCTAAGCACTTGCTCAAAAAAAGTTAATTTCATCACATCACAGATCACACAGGTGGTCCAATAAGTTAATGAACTTGGGTGATATGTAAAGGTTGGCTTAAACACAGTCTTCAACTCCTAGCAAAAGTCTTCACAGACATGACTTTAGTGATGGGCTCCCGTTTATCACCAGCTACATTGCACCCCCAGATTCAGAGAAGCTAACTAGTTATCTCAGCATTGGTAACTCATCTAAATTGAGACTGGATTTACTAATTAGCTCCGCAGCAAAGCGTCACTGTCTACATGTGCACCAATATTAGGGTACTGTAAATTAATTGACTCTACAGTAAGATGTGCTGTCCCTGACAGTATTACCTTACAGTGAAGTAATTTAGTCCACCGAAACGCATACGTAGGTGGACAGGGCTGGCTGGGGCTCAAGGGTACTGAAGTACAGGGGCTGCCTGCCACCTAGGCCTGCAATGTAGCATCTTTGTGCCCTAGCCAGCACCTCTGCTGCCACCACCCAGAGCCCAGGGCTCACCCTCTGGGCATCCCGCTAGCCAGAGGCTGATCCACCCTGGCTCAAACCACTGTGGTCCCAGGTGTATGTGTACGCTGCACCTGGGAGCAGTCTTCTCTGACATGAAGTATGCCAGAGTTAATCATGTCACCTTAATGGCATATGTAGATGCACTCAATGAGAACAAGAATGCCTTCAACAGAAATACCAACAACCATGATTCAAGAAAAATTCACCAGTTCTGCTTTCTGTACTGGAGAGCAAGTTGAAAACACATTTTCCTCAAGGCTTCCTTA